GCGTCGATAAGAGAGAGAGAGAGAGAGAGAGAGAGAGTGAGCGAGAGAGCTCGGAGGAGAGCGAGATGTGAGGAGCAGGTTCGACGCGCGTTCAGCGGCGATTCAGCGGGATGAGGTGGCGGCCGGACGGCCGGCACCGGACGGACTTCCGAATTGGGACGGGAATAAGCCGCTCTCCCGTCGGCGATCGAACGCGGGGCACTCGCCCCACGGCGAAACTACGGCGCCCACTACGGCCTTCCTTTCGAGGGGAGCGTCCTCGAAAAACAACGACCTCGATCCCCGTCCTCGCGCCGCCGTCGTCGATCGTTTAGATGATACATATATATATATATATATATATATATCTCGCGGAGATAGACGCTTCCGGGACGGACGCGGCTCCTATGCATATGTATAGCCCGCGTCGAAGTGTGTGCGAACGATGAGAGTCAAGGTCGAATCGGCCATCCGGCCGTTCCGGCGGACCGATATCTGAATCATGGGCAGACGCAGTCGGAAATAGCGCGCTCGATATCGTCTCCTAGACGCTACTCCTGGCTAAAGCGAGCGTATGTTATTGTCTCCGATTGGCAGTGAGAGCTAAGATCGAGCTTTAGCCTCGATCCGTCTCCCACGCTCTTCTCTCTCTCTCTCTCTCTCTCTCCCTCTGTCTCTTATTTGAAACTTGAAGCGGATGTACCGCGGCATGTAATGCGAACGTTATGTAGATAACGCAATATTTGCAGAGGGATGGGGATATAGCGGAAATGGAATTTGATTTACTGAGTGATATAAGTAAACGCAATTGTGAAGTATATAAAATTTAATAGTCGAGATCGCTCGGCAGTGATGTGAGCGAATGTTTCGTAAAGAAGCGTTCTTTCTTCTATGGCAAAAGTATCGAAGAGACAGGATTGAATTTATGAGTGACAATAGACAGAGAAGACAATATGAATAAAAAAAAGTGAGATATAAAATTTGTCAAAGTTTAATAAGCTAAATGATTATTGTGATCACAAAAATATTATTACCTAGTGGACCTTGTACTGCTGGAATGAGACATTTGAAGTTTCAGTTATTACATCATGCTCGTCCAATATAGTTTCGACAACTCTCTCTCTCTGATTATCTTCATAATAATGGAGAACTGAATTGTGTATCGTAAATTGTCCTTCAAACGAATTCGACATAAATTATGATGAAAGGATATTGAAAACATTTAATATCGCAAATTGACAATATTGAATATTACGGCGGAGCTTCGAACAAAAATCGCGGATGGTAATGCGTCTGTTGCTACCATAAAT